TAATATTAGACTTTTATATTAGTATATTCATATTAGGAAATGAAACATTTTGTTATTCGTAATTTTATTGTAATTATTATATTTTATTATATTATTTAAACTCCACACTTCGGATATTATATTACAGGAAACTTTTGAAACTCATCTTGGTTCTATCATTTTTCCACTTTTGGAGACCTTGGTAAATGATCTTACCATTCAAAATCCCGTGGTGACTGATATTGGACTTAAAAGAGAAACACTTAAGGTACGCTTTCTGAAAACTACACAAATGCTCCCTAATTTACGTGAGCTTTTATTTATTTCTTATCTCTCATCTTTACCTTACTCTTTTCTTGTTGCATGTAATGTTTATTTTCCTGGTTAACTAATTGAAATCTAATATACATTTAGATCATCTTTTGTTTATTCTTCCACTGGGATTGGCCTTAAGCTAATTATTTAGAGTTTTCTTCAATTTTATATATTTTTTCCTTATCCTGACATAATGTGGTTCTACTCATTTTATTACTCTTCTTTTTGTTTTTTAGTTCGCTTAATTATTTTTATATTTAGATTAAATTCTCGAAACTTCATTGATTCGTCTTTGTTTTTGTTTAAACCTTCTACATTATTCGGCTAATCTCTCTTTAAAGCTCTTCACTAACTCTTTATATTCTTGTTCAGAATTATGATACCACACGGTAAATGGAAACTCGATCTCTTCTCTAATGCTTATTAATGATAATTGCGAACACGCACATATTTGCTTTAATGTTAATTTATTTAACTCATATTCAACCTAATTATCGTTGTTTTTATAAACCTTAGGTGTGCATTTTATGCATCAACTGTTGCTTGTAATTTTATTCTTCCTTGTTTATCTCACATCTAGGTTGTCTCGTCAATCTGTGTCGGCTGTCCTCGCCTCATTAAGACAGCCTTGCCCGATGGACCTACACGCATTGCCGCAGTCATGTTGCATTTACTCACACATGCCGTTCAATCGTGGCTTAGTAGTCAGGTGCATTGTTGCGGAAGCGAAGGTGGAAACTTGTGCACCGAATTGCAGAGTGAGATAGTCGACTCTGATGGTAAATAACTAATAATCTTTAATATGCATATTTTATTAATATTCTTTAGAAATATATCTTAGGTTGATACACAACCAAAATCAAGGTCTTATTGTATTAAATTTGCTATGAACTTTTAGCGAAATTTGACTGGTCTTGCAAATGAAGCTTGCTTTTGTACACAAAAATAAGATTGCGATTGTTTTATGTCTAGAATGTTCCTAATTACAAATAATAATTAGAAGAGGACTCAGCAAAGTCTAAGGCTGACTTGGGTTTGGATTAAAGATATAATTGTCTAGATGCGTAGTCAATGAATAAAAGTTACTTTCTCACATGTTATAGAAAATTTATGGATTGAAGGAAAACTTGACTCCGAATAATTTCTTTGTGATTTATTGTGACGACTTACCATTTGGAAGGAAAAGTTGATTTGAAGGAATTCATGAAATGTCCTCCTAAACGTAGTCCTCGGCTTACCAACCCATGACCCCTATGAACTTATGCTAAGCTTCCGTATGTACTTAGACGGACATAATCAAAGCAAGAATTCATACTTAACCAAGTAGAACAAATATATAATAAATCTAGAGAACGGGTTTAGTATGTTTTTAGCGCTATTTCATTAAGTATGGATTACTGCCCATTATTTAACTCAGTACTGACAAAAGTTTAGCACAGGTTCATCGGGGTCGTAGGACGGTTAACCGAGGACTTCTTTGCATAATATAGCTGTATTGTCTACACGGCAATCCTTTTTCGGTTTCCTATGAGGCCATTTCATTAATTCTTTCTAGCCTACTTTCCCTTCTATGTGTAAGTCACGTTGCAATGGAAAATTTATGTTTACCTTAACGACAATCCCACTATAAAGTGTTATATGCTAGTGGTCTTTCATGCTTTTTGACTTATGCCGTATGTGACCTGCTTGCAGTTTTTGATCTTTTGCATAGTGATACGGTTTAGAATCTCTTTCAAGGTGCTGATGGAACCCAGAGTTTCAAACTACGGTTCAGCTTAGATTGAGAAACCATTTTAGAGACAAAGCTAATTGAAATTCACTTTTTAAGGCCTACTCTTTTCACTGTTTAAATTCTCACTTTCAGTCCTTAATTCACCTCATGCGACTTTGCGTGTCCAAAATTCTTACTTAAGAATTACTGATAGTTGTGAAACATAATCACCGAATATAATTGCTGTTCGTTTTGTCCTGAATATTTAGCAAAGTAGTTGCAACAAAAATAACTTTATAGATGTATTTACTTTATTTCTTTTAAGTAGATAAGAGGACTAGTAGTTACATTTTCTCACAATGGCACAAGCAGATCTTACATTTCCATTGAATTCCGCATAATCTTGTGTTCGTAGAAGGTATTCTTATTCAGATTGTACTGCAGTTTCGATCTTGCCTAGGCCTAATCAGCCCCTCCAGTGGGACTTATAACATGACGGTGCAGCGTATATTCTTAGCCCGAAACAGGACGATTACATGTCATATATATGATCTACTCAAGATATCAAAAACCTGCTTATAAGCGATAAATAAGTAATGCAATTGATCACTTTGGCAAACACAACTTTGCTTCTTCGGCAATCCCACCACATAATGTGATATGGGAAAATGCCTGGCCTTTGTTGGAATTTACATCTGCCCTTAGACCCAAGGGCAGTCGTGGCGTTGTGGCGTAGTGGCTAACGTGTCGAGATTATATGCTGCACTGTCATGGTTCGTCTCCTGTTTAGAATGCTGATGAAACCTAGGCGACTTCCATTCTATAAGAGAATATCTTTTGATAAAGCAATTCTATGTGAAAGTTAATAGGAACGTAAGGTCTACTAATACCATTGTGGGAAAATTCCAATATTTCTTACCTTATCATCTTAAATGAAATAGAATGAATACATAAATATATCTATGATCTGCTGGGGATCTTGAAAGCCTATTTATTAACGAAAAATTTCTTCAAAATTTGGTCTGCTTATTTTACGGCTTAACTCACATAATCTATATCCCTCAATCGAGGCTTAAATAAATAAGGTATGAAGACCAAGATGGTGTAGTCTTTTGTGTGTACGCAGTCTCCTTTCGTTGTATATAGGTTGTTTCACCTTAGTTTCGCAACATGGTCATATTGGTAGGGAGACTAATTGGAACGCATCTAGTCCGGGGTCCATTGTCTGCATGATCATTTCTAAAGTTGAACCGTGGACGTGGAACATTCTCAAACGTTTCGCCAGCATTACTTGTCTCTTTGACGAGTAGCTGTATGGTGCTTAGGATGGCGATACTCACTGACGATGTCGACTACGAT